GAATTAAAGTAAAGCATATTTGTTTAACAAAAACATTTTGTTTCTAGGGTTATTAACTTATATTCATAATAGAAATTAATTTATTAAATAAAGGAACATAAGTATATAAAATTGTAATTTTGATAAATTTCAGAATCACTAATTACAATAATTTGTTTATCTAATTAACATTTATTAATAAAGATATTTCATGTAAAAAATACTTTTTGAACATGGCCTTTCATTGTATTTCACTGCATTGCAAGAAAAACCATTGCATTTCATTGCATATCATGATCAATCATTGTATTTCGTTGCATTTCATGGTTAAACGTGGTATTTCATTGCATTTCATGATCCATTTCAACTCTGACCAATTTTAGACTTGACAATCTTCTAGAGTTCTTTTGGCAATGAAATACCATGGTATAACCATGGTATTTGATGGTCAGGTTTGACAATGAAATGCTATGAAATACAATCAACCACGAAATGCAATGATATGCCATGATAAATGATAGTTATGATTATGGCAATGAAATACCATGGTATGACCATAATATTTGATGGTCAGGTTTGACAATGAAATGCCATGAAAAACCACCAACCATGAAACGCAATGATGAAACCATGATAAATGAGAGTTATGATTTTAGCAATGAAATGACATGGAATGACCATGGTAATTGATTGTCACACGGTACAATGAAATGCCATGAAATGTCATCAATCATGATTTACCATGGTAATACCATGGTAAATGATGGTCAGGTACATAACAATAAAATATCATGGTATGACCATGGCATTTGATTGTCACATCGTACAATGAAATACCATCAACCATGATATACAATGGTAATACCATGGTAAATGATGGTCAGGAACATGGCATTGAAATACCATGGTATGACCATGGTATTTGATTGTCACATCTTTTAATGAAATGCCATCAACCATGATATACCATGGTAAATTATGGTCAGGAACATGGCATTGAAAAAACATGGTATTTGATTGTCACATCTTACAATGAAATGCCATGAAATGCAATCAACCATGATATACCATGGTAATACCATGGTAAATGATGGTCAGAAACATGGCAATGAAATACCATGATAATACCATGGTATTTGATGGTTACCTTTGAACACGAAATACCGTGAAACATGGTATAACATGGTATACCATGGTCAAAAATTGACCAAAAAACATCATTGCCACCATGGTCAGAGTTGATGGTAATTTCATTGCCGATCATGATAGACCATGGTAAACCATGGTATACCATGGTATCATGGTTTACGTTTAAACATGGTCACCATCGTAAAGTGTGGCCTCCATACGGTAAGATGGCATAAATGTATCTCAATCGAGTAAATTGGTTTGAATACATTTTAAGTATTGTCAGGAGTTACATTATAATACACTAGCCATACTACATATACCTGTGCAAAGTAGGGTCAAAACATTGCCGCTATTTGCTCTAAGGTTCCAATACACGATTGGAAAGGCGAGAGTGTCAGGTTTAGGGATCTGGCCATCGTGAGATATCACAGGCCGTCAGCCTTCTCTCAGTTTCCTTCTAGTTCTTGTGCATATCAGAGATGATCTGAGTATCAGAATGGGATCTGGCCTGTTTTCGGATGTTTGTTTGTTACAAAGTTGAAAATTCATCACCAAGGGGTAAAATTAAGAAATAAATCATAATTTTTCAAATAAATTATTTTATCAATGATTTTAAATTTTCGATTTAATTGTTCATAATAACAAATCTAGTGTCCTAAGAGACATGCTAGTGTATAATTAAGATGTTTGACCTTGATGGTTATGTTAGCATTTTGTCTTTATAGTTATCACTGAAACATATGTGAAAATAATGCCAACTTTCTTTTTTACATCATATTTTTCATTCATTTTTTGTAAAAAAGGAGAATACACTTCATTAGTATAAATAATATATTTCTGTCACTCCCCACGACCAATTGTGTGTCTATGCTTCTCTACTTAGTTCATATGAGGGTGGGAGGGTGGTTGTATGTGCAAATGTATGTTTTACTGAATGTCTTTCTGACCACACATGATAAACTATTCATTCAAAGCACTCCATATTTCATGTATGCCTGTGATAGAAGTTTACATGAACGTAAGTTTGAAGATACTTTATGAGAAAATAAGAATGGTAATAGAGGTCAAAGGTCAATTTTTGACTTTAATGAATTCTCCTATAGCCTTATATGTGACTTTATATTTATCTAAAGGATTGACATTTCATTGTAAAGGGAAATTTGTCAGGAATAAGGATCTTATAAGATAACAGAGCTCTGGTGATTAAATTAACCCTTTCATCTCCAAGGGTTCATTTTTGAGAAAATTAAAACAATTCTAAAATCTATCCAAACACTAATAATAAGACAAAATATTACTTGTAACATATGAAAATATTTATACTTTCTAATAGTTCTTCTGATTATAAGTACTTTGGTTTAGAAACAAAAAACTTTTCAGGGAAAATGTATACCATTTTCAAAGCGGCAGCCATCTCTTACCACGCCTATTTTCTCAAAAGCATCTTTAAACTTCACTTTCATATGTACTATCCTACCTCCTGCATGGACAATATGAAATAATCCTTTTTTAAACGAAAAATTAATGAAAAATTTGATGTTAAAAAGAAAGTTCACTTATTTTTTTGGTGATAATTTCAAAGACAAAATGCTAATATAACCATCAAGGTAAAACATCTTAATTATACTCTAGCATGTCTCCTAGGACACTAGATTTGTTATTATGAACAATAAAATCGAAAATATAAAATCATTGATAAAAGATTTATTTGAAAAATTATTTCTTAATTTTACCTCTTTGTGATGAAAGGGTTGATTTTTCAACTTTGTACCTCCCAAACATCCAAGCTCAGGCTTAAAGCTGACACTCTCACATTTCCAATGGTATATTGGAACCTTATAGGGCAAATAGCGACTTTTATTTTTCATTAAGGAGAGCACTTTGTGGCTCTACTTTGCACAGGTAATAGTAAAATAAATTAGGTTATAATCAGGTAAATTGATAGAGCAGTGATGTGATATACTGTACAGTAACACTTGTGTGGATGAACACTTTTGTTTCCCTAAAAGTGTTCAGTTTTGGACGTGTTCATTGTTCAACTTATAGAGGTTCATTTTATATTGGGTTCATGCATAATTTGATTTAAAAAAGTATTGCAATTCATAGGTATTTCACTTACAGAGGTGTTCAACTTTATAGGTTTTACTGTACTAAAAGATGCAGTTATTTATGTGCATGTTCTGCCAGGGCATTTGAGAGTTTATTATTCAATATAGAATATGTATTGGCCTTTTTACAGCACACGGTGGGTATAGTCTGTCATGTGACTTAGGTTTTCGTATGTGGGCGTGTTTTGCATTTCCTTCTGCGCTTAAGGTATGAATGTACACTTTTAACATATTTCTAGACTTTATATCTCTGTGAAATTTGTACCGTACCATCAATGTGTAAAGAAGATTTGATTCACCAAATATTCCATTCACGCGTGTCGCGGTTAAAGAGAAATTCGCACTTTTATTGCTCAGAATATCGCATGTGTGGAATGATTCGAATTTCATGACGAGTTTATCCGCGATTTTGTTCATACAGTTACAAATGGTGATATAGTCACCAGATGCAAGTATAGTCTGTCACGTCTATTTATGAAAGACGTGTTGGTCAATGGTTCGCTCGTCTTTCCATTTCAGGTTTCGGATTCGAATGATGTTTTTAACATAATTTTAAGACTTTGCCTCTCTGCGGAACTTGTCCCTATTACCATCAATGTCTAAAGACGATTTAATCCACCAAATATCTCATCCCCGTGTGTCCCGGATAAAGAGAAATACGCATAATAATAACACCTGAAACATGCTCTGATATTATGAGGCATATTCTGTGATCTGAGCACATCAGGTGGGAAGAGTTATAACTGTAAAAAATGTGATCGTTATCATGCAATCATTAACCGAATGTCAATACATTTTACATGATAGGCATTGTATTGAACAGCAGATATTACAACAGGCACAGTTACACAAGTTTTATGACCCCAATTACATGAAATATGAGCTGTGATGAAAGATCTCAAAAATCCTCAATTTTGGGCCAAATCAAGCTCATTATATCATGGCATCTCAGGGCTGAGAAAATTTGAGATGTCATGGTTTATCATGATGACACTAACGAACCATTCTAACATTGGTGTAAATTGGGTAACAATTATGAATATATAGTTAAATTATTTATGGAAGTCACAAATTCAAATGCTAATATTGTAAAAGGGGAGAGGGAAGCGCCAAAGACTTGCACACATAATCCAATATTACGTATACGAGGTAGAGCAGCTGGGCGTTCAAAGTTCGTATGTGTCAGGATTAAACAATGTACACGGGTATGATCCAAAAGTCTTCAAAACATTTCAATTTGAGAATTTCTGAGATAAAGTATCATCTTCAACCTTTATCTATATGTTTCCATATGTTATAGACAAAAATGTCCTTGCCCTGCGATTGAAATAATCGTCGGACTGAGCTTCACTTCGTAAAGTTTCATAAAACATTTTATATTTTGATTTATCATATCCTTCAAGTTACCGCTTCTAACAGGAGCAAAAAAGCAAATGTCCCGCTGAAAATACGACGATGGTCCCGCTTCTAACATTAGGAGGTCCCGCTGAAAACAGGAGCAAGTGGCCATGGTACTCCAACAGGGAAGGATTCACGACTATACCCTGCCAATCTCCCACTATGATCACGCCCGATGTTTGTGAATTTTGGAATGAGTGGCGTACTAGCGGATCGGCCGTAAGTTATTTTAAAATGTACAGAGTCGCTCCTTTCTATTGTTTGACAAATCATTGGTTTCATGCTTGGATGAAAGTATGTAAGATTGGCAATAATTGAGTAGATGACCTCCATTGCCTTTGATTTTACCCCAAAATTCCTGGAACTGTTTGAAAGTCTGTTTGACAATAACCTTCGAAATAGGTGTCCCGTGAATGATCGTATTACTTTTCTGTGAAAGGGAAACTCATTATATTGCTGCAAGATTTATAGATGGGAACGTATGATCTTGGGAAATCAAAGAAGGGAAAAGGTAAGTAGACGACCTTGATATATGTCACGATATCGGGTAAACATCTATCGAGCGAAGTAACACAAAATAAAATAAATGTTATACCCTATTATCGAGATGTAAATCTCGTATCACATGCTATATGAATATACTCTCTAATTAATAATGGTTACATTTAGGCGATCAGCCTGGGGGACTGGTCGGTATCAAATTAGGGGAATAATCGCCATAGTGATTTTTGGGAAGGTTAAGACTTCTAGAGTAAGAAAATATGTGATAGCATTGCAACAATTTTCAAAATGGCAGCCGGTGCACATGTCACAACATAAGAGTGGGTATATCTAAGCACACTGAGATGCAAAAACTGTGAGTCTAGGACCTATGTTACGGTTTTAGGGGTCAAGGATTTCATGTATGTCTAAATCTAAGTCATCAAACAATTGTTTCTAATAGAAATCCAAAATGGCCGCCAAAATTGGTGCAAAAACGAATATGTAACAACTGTTAATGCTCAAGAAACACTTAAGAACAGTGATTTTGGAGCCCATGTCTACGTTTTAGGGGTCAAGGATTTGATTTATGTCTAAATCTGAGTCATCAAATAATTACTTTTCATAGAAATCCAAGATGGCCACCAAAAGGGATGCCAAATCGAATATGTAACTATTGATTTAAGCACAAAGAACACTGGTTAAGAACAGTGATTTTGGAGACCATATCTAGGTTTAAAGGGTCAAGGATTTGACTTATGTCTAAATCTAACTCACCAAACAATTACTTTAAATAAAAATTCCAAGATGGCCACCAAAATGGATGCCAAAATGAATATTCAACTATTAATTTAAGCTCAAAGAACAGTTAAGAACAGTGATTTTGGAGCACACGTCTGCGTTTTAGGGGTCAACGTTTTTATTTATGTCTAAATCTAAGTCATCAAACAATTAGTTTATATAGAAAACCAAGATGGCCACCAAAATGGGTGCCAAAATGAATATTTAACTGATTGATTTAAGCTCAAAGAACAGTTGAGAACAGTGATTTTGGAGACAATGTCTCGGTCTTAGGGGTCAAGGGTTTTATTTATGTCTAAATCTGAGTCATCAAATAATTGCTTTTCATAGAAATCCAAGATGGTCACTAAAATGGGTGCCTGCAATAACAAGTAAATGTTGATTTAAGCTCAAAGAAGTAAGCTTTTTGGTGTCAATAATTTCAATTATGTCTAAAACTATAAATAATTTCTTTATTTGGATTCAAGATGGCTTCCAACATTGCTGCCGAAGTGAAAATAAGATTTATTATCTAAACATATAGAGGAGTTAGAACATTAATTTTTGATATTTTAAGTTTGTGTGGTCAATGATTTTAATTTTGTCTTTAGTAAAATTAACAAACATTTTATTTATATGGATATCCAAGATGGTCTCCAAAATGGCTGCCAAAATGAATTCGTATAACTATCCAGTTAACCACATAGATCACCAAGAACAATAATTTTGGAAGCAATGTTTACTTTAAGGAGGTCAAGAATTTCACTTATATGACAATTTACGATAATTGATATTTTAAAAATCTGTTCTTGTACTAGAGACGTTGATTTCACGGACAAGCAATGTGTTATTTTTTGTTGACCAGACTTTAAGCAATCATTACCACAAGGTACCTGTTTGGAATATTGCTTATCTTTTTTAAAAAAGTTCACTTTAATGATGGATTTTTAGACAATTGAGAAACATTTTATTTTTTCGGCAAATATAAACTCGGATTTCTTAACCTAAAATGTATCGATTGCGATATTATATTTTGAATGCCAATATGGGGTTGCAAATTGGTCGCAACTCTCCCAAATGTCCTTCACACCTATTCCGGGTGGTTATAATGGGTGCAAATATCCTTTGCACCAATATGGGGTTGCAACGTTGGGTGCAACTCTCCCAGAAATAACAATGTTGGGTAAAAATAATGAATAAAAATACACACAAAATCTCGGCAAATAAAGTAATATATACAATCCGATAGAAATCTTTTAAAACAATGTTCAATATGTCCAGGCTACAAAAATGGACAAACTGTGATGATATTTGAGTAAAGTCCTTCTTCAATTACACAACAAAATATTATTACTTACGACCCCGAAGGTGTGATGAAGCTGTTAATTCTTTGTCGCGCACAACAACTTGACCAAAATCATGCTGAAAACAATGGATAGCATGAGTTTTCCCTATGGGAAAATAACATGGGAAAATATGGTTTTTAACTTGATCGCGTTTTAATACCCATTCCCTTTTCAAAAGTTATTAATATAGTGTAGAAGAAACTTCTGATATATTTAAATTGAGAAAAACAAAATCCTCTTTTTAGAAAATAAGCCTTACATTTTTAAAAACGTGACAAGGTGGGGTCTTAATCCATGATATTTCAGAGAGTTGGGTTGATATTTTAGTATCATGGGGACTTCACTTTAAAGAGAAAATATTGTATTCCACTGTATTTATACCCAGAAAGTACTCATGGTGAAAGATATGACTGTCTAAAATCACTTGTCTGTGAGACTGCACATGGACCTTTCAACTTTTTTGGTCACATTTTCAGAGGGCTGTAAAATCTATTTCATAATTGTCAGGGTCATTCTGACCATGTCCATTGTGATCAAAACAAAACTAGTTATATACAGTAGTTAAATAAATTAAAAAAATCCAGGGTGTTTTTGTGACTTCCTGTTAACTAATAGTCGTAGAAATATTATCATTATATAGTGACTTCTCCGATTTTATTACAAGTAAGTATCAAGTAGGTTTTTCGTATGGATTGACTTGAATTAAACTTAAAATGACAATAATAATAGAAGGTAGGGGGTGGTCATCCCATTTCTTAATTTGTGATGTCGAATTCCATACGTTGTAACCCGTTATATTCCACATTCCTATAATGCAAAATCCGTAAAAAATCTCTCACCCCATGACAATTCTTTTTCAGAACATAAAAAATTGAGGCTCACGCCAGTATCTTTGGATCGAAGTGTACGTACTACAGTATGGCGTCTCTACTTAGCTGTTGCAGAATATCAAATCGTCAAAACATGTCATGTCCAGTCACTGGATTGATACCAAGAGAGAAAAATTCCATCAGAGCATCATGGGCTCTCGTTATGAAAGACTCGCAACTTAATGGGCGTCTTTTATTGAAAAAGTGAGTCAGGCCATGCGCTTTACACCCCAGTCACATTTGTCGCACGGAGGCCGTGCGTCGACCGCAGATCAATTAAATCAGTGTATTTCTGCGGCGAGCGTAGGAAAACTACGCTCGCCTTGCGGCCTCCGTGCGGCGTATCCAGTTTTTTAGAGGCCGCAGGGTCGCCGTAGAAATTATAACTCGGAGTTATAATATTTGTTCATTTCTGAGGTCCCCGTAGAAATCAACTGGCTCAACAAGATTGAATCATTATTTGTCAATGTTTCACGATCACTTTTCATTTGATATTACATCCTAGCACTTTGAATAACATTTATAAATTGTCCTGATGTAAATAAACTGAAAAAATTATTATTTATCAATATAAATTTAAAATTCACCGTGCGGCTGCCGTGGGAAATGTGACTGCAAAAGTATGAGAGCGCAGAAATTCTGCGGCGAGCGTAGAAAAGCTACTGGCCGCAGAAATGATAGACCGCAAGGTCGCCGTAGGAAATGTGACTGGGGTGTTAACGTTACAAATGAGTCGGGTAATGCGTTTTGGCAATGGCAATGGATATCGACTTAGAAGATAAAGAAAATTGTTATATGGCTAAATAACTCAATCACACATATTATTAGACCTTTAAATACTCCTCAAAAAAGTTAAGGACCAGTGGTTTTCCTCATAGGTTTACATGTTAACCCCCATATTTGTTTGAACGACTATTTTCTAAGTGTGGAACAAAAGAAATCCCAATAAAGAAAATTAAATCTGTATCTTGATTCTATTCCCTATAAAGTCCGCAACGTTTCAATGTTGTATCTCCATTACATTGGGTCAAAATTTGATGTCAAAATTGATAAATTTCATGAAATTTAACAAAAATGGCAGATCCCATGTTAAACAAATGGGGAATGGTTGGGTTGCCATAAGTCATATGAGGAACGATCCATCCATCCGATTGCTCTCAAAATTGAAATTGTAAGAGATAATTAAAGGGTGACGGAAGTTAGTGCAACAGATGTTTGACAGTTGATAATTTTTTTGTGAGTAGCTTCTGGCTGTAAAAAATATGCATATGAAAGTCCAATATGTCATCTTTAAGAAAAGTTGAAAGAATGGTTCCAAGATCAATTGGATTATCTCATAATCTGTGTTTAATCCACACATTAACAAGCATTTTTTCAAAATTCATTCATCATTTTCAACATCATCCATCATTTTTTTTACAATTTTTCATGCAAAGTTACATTGTACCATAACATATGTTTCATCACTTAAAATATTTTAATCATTCCTTCCAGATTAAGATTATGATAATCTAATATAATGGAGACCAATGGGACTATGCTTCTAGTACAGCACACCCAGATAAGATGTCATTAGTGTAGATAACATTTATTTCAAGTTGCCTATATTTTCATGAATGGACGGTTGTGGCTAATACCCTGTTCAATCAATGGAGCATATCCCCTGCATTTCCCAATCAATTATAAATATGTCAAGTTGACTGTTTTATGCAGTTTAAGTGCAGTTAAACCTTTGTATGTGTGAAATCTTTGCCAATCGTGAGCACCTAAGATATTTTGAATACCCCTCTATATGATATTTTTATGCTGTCCTTATAGCATATTTACTTTGAACAGGTTTTCTGTATCTGGTTGATCACTGATGATACATGAGGTATTACATACATGAGTAGTATTGAACATGATATATACTATATATACCTTGTCTCCTCTGTAAAATAAATGTTGGGAATAAATGCAGAAATGCAAGAAGAAAGATAAGAAAATAACTGAATTTTCTAATTTTTAAGCATTTTATAAAAAAACAATATTCTTTTCAGTCTTTTCATGGTTCACATCATATCTGGAATGAGTTGAAAATTCAATATGTGACTCCAATCAGGATTGCATAAATATTCCAAACATACACACTTACCTTAAATGTTAAACATTGCACAATTAATTCCATTGAGTGTGTGGTGTATACTTCCTTCGTATAAATCAAAATAATTTCTAAGGTTTACAATATGAAATAATGAAATATCTGGTTTTCTTCCATATTAATGTAAAAATATACACGAACTTAAAATGATTCTATCGGACCAGTTGTTGAGTCAACACTTACATTTATGAGGGTGGTTAAGATCGCACTATTTTGATTAACTTGTACTTGAAACGTTTAAACTTATGGTCCCCTATTAGCTATTTTTCTCTTCACTTTATTTGCCTAATTGAGAATGAAGGTGTGAGGGAAGATATCTTTAATAATAAGGTCCAAAGTAAAACCAGTTGAGATGTGAACACCAATTCTGGGGTCCTAATGTTACTCAAGTTCACCCGAATGTGTGTAACCTCTCTAATGTCTTAAGTTCAATACTAACAGAACATGAACTCTACTAATAACAAATAGTACCGTGGGTACTGAGCTCACATGGTGTTGGTCAAAAAGTGAATGATGGCTAAAATGGCTGACAAAAAATAAAACAGGAATCCTATCGACCAAGGTCTTAAAACATGCTACTATTGTGGATTAACTGATTGAAGTGTATTTTGTGAGACAAAAATGTCAGCCATTTTAGAAATAGGCGAGGTCTGAACCAAGAGTCATAGGGGAGCTTTCTGTATGGATGTTCAAGAAAAATAACTTAAAACCGGAATCCTATCGACAGAGGTTTTAGAACGTGCCACTATTGTGGACTAACTGAGAGCCAGATGGGCAAATCAAGGTTAACTAAAATAGCTGAAAATAAAAAAAAGATATAATTTTTTGTTGACTTTTTTGTAACAAAATTAGTACATGCTACTCTTTACATTGACATGTGTTTTTACAACGGAAGACACCTGAATTTATTTATAAAGCTACCAAATGGTCCAAAAGTGAATTTTGCGAGACAAAAATGCCAGCCATTTTGAAAATAGGCGAGCATCTGAACCAGGAGTCTTAGGGGAGTTTTCTGTATTGATGTTGAACAGAAATAACTTAAAACAGGAATCTTATCAACAAAGGTTTTAAAACGTGCCACTATTGTTGACAGACAGACGGACAAGTGAGTAATTGCAATAGCTCACCATGTGAGCTTACAAGTGAGTGATTGCAAGACCTCGCGTGAGCTAAAAAGGCCAACAAAACTGCAAATCCTAGCGTAGGACTGAATTGGACTTTGACATGCAACATTTACTAGTCCGAGTGGGGGGGGGGTGGAGGTGTTGAGAGACAGCCTTATCCCCCAGCCACATTTTCCATCAACATTCTGCAGTTTTTCACCATTTTAGTACTTTTAAAGTGATGTTGGGATGATGGTTTATAATTTAACTGTTGGTACAATAGATTCCTTACATATTAAATGCAAGCATATATAAAGTGATCTAGAATTTCAACACTGGACCTTAAAAGTCCTATATCACACTGTTATAGCATGACGGTTACGTCAAGGTGATTTGCAATATTTTTTATAACAAAAAATGGCGGATGAGAAAGACAGCACGTCTTCTTTCTCGCCTGTAGGTAAGATTCACAGATCCTTTTAAACTAGTTCCATTCGGTGACGTATATATGGATGGTTATAAAGAAAGGGTCAAATCTGCCAGGTGGTCTACAAGAAAAAGAACATAAACTGAGATATCATTTTTAGTCCATTAATTCTCGTGTTTTCTCAGTATATGTGCCTCAGAGCCACTCAAAATATTAACTGTAAGTAAACCTGTACACCTGTCAAGTCAAGGTGGCTAGATCTGATAGCCTCTTTCCATATTATTATTATACAACGTCCCGTCGTCTTCCACTTCGCCCCGTCGAGTTTATGACTACATTAAGATGACATGGAAGGTGACAGAACGTATTGGCCAATTTTGAACAGATGTGCTGGTGATTAAATCAAACCTGCTGCGTTTAATGCCCAAACATAAAGACGTAGCGATGGAGAGTTGAAATGAGGGGCCATTCTGAAATTATGGGCGAAAATGAGTTGAAGACTGGTGAGATAACTAGACTTACCATTGAAAGCTATGAAAATTTGCTTAATCTCACAGGTGGGGACCAAAACGCCGCTAGAATGAGGAACTTTATACACTAAGAGACAGACAGAGAGGCATTTTTTGCTTTTAATGGCATCAGTTTGAATAAAAACGGTGCAGTATGGGACTCACAATCCTTGATTTTCAAACACCTGGTAGGTTTAAAATTCAAAATAACGGTTTTGCCGTCCCGTATAGTTGGTACCCCGTCAGAGTAGTAGAAAGTAATGCACAAAGCCACAAACCTTAATTTTCTGTTCTACCATGGCCATTTACTGGATAAATCAGTGAACGTAGCAGTCCAACCTCGTTTTCAGAGGTGGCATAACCGCATTGGCGTCGGGGCGACGGCCCCCTTGCCCCTTTTGTAGATTTTTTTAGATTTGAAACTGAGCCTAGAATTGAAAGCTCTAGAGCTGTTTAAAGTCAAAGTGTAATAATGACAGAAATGACACTATGTTAGTATATAGTCTACATCGGGCATAGAAGATCTCATTTCTCTTATTAGACTCCAGATGAAAATCTGGAGTCTATTGCTTTTGCCAGTTTTCTTTATTATTATTATTAGACTCCAGATGAAATCTGGAGTCTATTGTTTTCGTCAGTTTTCTTCTTCTTATTCTTATTCTTTTTCTAAACCAGTTTTCTCAATAACCATAAGGTCTTCAGTAAAGTCAATCATTTGGTCAATTTAGGTTTAGTATCTAGTTCCTCGGAAATTGGGTCAAATTTTTATCTAGGTCAAAGGTCAAGAACTAGGTCAAATCCAGTACTTTGTCACTTTTTTCGATTTTCTCGGTCGTCCTTCAATATTTTCGATCCGGGTTTGTTTCATTGTGTTCCTTATAAAAAAGTAGAAAACCTAGGGTCGATTTAGTTTTTTGATATCTCAAACCGATTTCGAGATATTAGTGTCCAAAAACGAGGTCCAAAAAAAATTTCTCCGAATTAAATGTCCAGGATATTAGTCTTATAGAAAATTTTCTCAGGAT